CACACGAGGGAACAGAGGAAAGGGACTGGTGATGAGTGATTGATTGACATTTGGGTGAATGCTGCGGCAGGCGGCGATTTGTAGATGGGTGCAAGCATGGATGGTTGCATGGGGAAGCAAGGCAGGCAGAGCAGGAGGGAATGCAAGAGCAGGAGGCAGGGCACAGTTGGCACTCACGTAGCTGCCATTGAACGCCTCGTTGCCCCCACAAGCCGCACCACAACACCCCTGCCAACCCCCCCACCCACCGGCCTCCCACTCCACCTCCCCTCCCTTCTCGCCCTCCCCTCCGCCGCCTCCCCTCCTTTCTCCCCTCCGCCTCGCCTGCCACCAGCGCGCCCCGTCTCCGCCCCACGGCCGCCACATGCACTGGTCCAGGAACTGCCTGCTGGGGATCCACCTGTCGGGCGCCCGCCCTGAGAGGGCGAGGGCCATGGACGCCCCTGGCGCCAGCAGGAGAGCCGGCACTGACAGCCCTGCCCCGATGCCCAGCGCTGCAGCTACTGCTCCCGGTACTGATGCTGATGCTGCTGATGGTAGGGAATCCGCACCTGCTGCTGCGGACAAGTCTGCTTGCCTTCCAGGGATGGCAGATGCAGCAGAGGCAGCAAGCGAGTCCGGCAGCCATAGCCGCCCTGGCGCCACCCATCCCTGCCTGCAACACACGCATCGCCTCATACCCCGCACCAGCCGCACCCCCCTGCACGCCCTCACTCGAACCTTCTGCGCCCCCCCACTGCCTTTTCTGCACTGTCAGGGGCGTCAGCATCAGCGGTGTTTGTGCGTGGCGGCAATGGTAGGAGGGCTGTTGCTTGTGTGCGACCAGGGGCTATGGCGGAGGGGAGGTCCACACACAGATGGGCGAGAGGGCGGATGGTGGTACCACGGCAAGGAGGGCTGGTGAGGTGAGAGTGAAGGAGGGGGGTGCGGCAGGGCAGCAGCAGCGGCTGCGTTGCCACATGCACGAATGGGTTGAGCGCGGTGCAGTTGGTGTACGGTTCGCCTGAGAAAGAAGGGTGGTGGAAGAAACGAGGGCGAAAAGAAGGAAAGAGTGGAGAGGTCATAAGGAGGAACATCTGGAGGGCACCCAGGCATAGAGCAGAGGGTCAGGAGAGAGGGTCGGCAAGCATGCAAGAAGGGTGTGGGAAAGCGGTCGGCAGAGCAGCGGACCTGAGGAGGAGAGGAGGCGGGCAGCGAGCAGCAGGGAGTGGCCCACAAGCGCCTCAACGCCCACGTTCAGCTGCAGCGCGCTGCCCTCCTCCTCGCCCACTGCCTGCATGACACGTGGCTCACTCACCCGCACCTCCACCTGCTCCCATGCCATGGTGGTAGAGGCAGGTGCGGGCCGGACGCACATGGGTGGGGATGGATGAGTGTGCATATGAGCATGTGCGTGGTGCATGCATGGCCGCATGTGCAGTCTGGAAATTGTACGAAGGTGACTGTGACTGCATGGTGGGCTAAGCTCCAAACGAGGTAGAGACGACGCACTGGAAACAGCAAAACACTCTTCTTATCCTCCCTTCCTCTTCCACGTTCCCACCTCGCTCATCCCTCCCTTTCTCGTTTCCACTCCCGCCCTTCCCCTTGGCTGGGCCTTATCACCCCCCCCCGCACCTGGTGGTAGTTGTTGCCATCCACTGCTGCTGCCACTCGCACCACCGCAACCCGGGCCGGCCACCGTCAGCCAACCAGAGGGCGCCACGTGGATGACAGTGGAGTCAGAGCTGGTCCACACATAGTCAGCAGCTCGCTCGCCACACCCTGGTCCATTCGGGAATGTACGAGCAATGGGTTGCGATGGTAAGCTTTTCAAAATGGCTTCCAAGAGTAAGGGAAGCTGCTGTACTGACTCTATCGCCCCTCAATGCACTGCAACTTCCTGCGTCTGACTTCCTCGATCAACTCTTCTCAATCGTCTGACCAACGTTCTTCCTGCTCTCGCACATGTATGATGTCTTCCCTACCATGCATTCTTCTCACAGTGCATGACTCTGCTCACCTCCCGACGCCAGCAGCCGCAGGTGCTGCCGCAGCGGTGGTGGCGCAGAGTCAAGCTGCGGCACCCACGGCAGGTGTACCACGTGGACAGGGTCCACAGGAGGAGGAGATGAAGAAGAGGCGGGGGTTGTGGGGGAGGGCAGGTGCACCAGCACGGGGTCGCACACACGAATCGCCTGCACCGCCACCACCTTCTCCTCCCGCCCCTTCCCACCGCTCTGCACCTCTCGGTACCGCAGCTCAGCCTGCACCTCGCCCTGCCCCTGCTGCCCCCCTCGCACCACAACCACCCTGCTCCTCTCCTCCCCACCACCCCCTCCCCCCTCCAAAGCAGGAGGCGCCTGTGCCGGTAGGGAGGCAACCGCAGCAGCATCCTCCCCAACGACAGACCAGAGGGGTGGGTGGTCGAAGCGCAGCAGCAGTGTGTCCGCCTGTGTGAGCAGCACGGGCCGGCTGGGCCAGCCATGGGAAAACACCTGCACCCAGAGAGCGTACTCCCGACCAACCACAAGGTGCCACGTGTCCCCCCCACTGGCCACAGGCTCCGCCACAGCCCTGCAGGCTACAGCCCCAGGCAGACCCCCTCCCCCAGCTGCACCTGCTCCAGAACACACCTCCCCCTCGCCACCGGTGCCCCCATTCCCCCCTGGGAGAGGCGCCAGCGGTGCGAGGAAGATCTTGACATGGCCAGGCGTGACGACGTGGATGGAGACGGCCTGGTGGTGGTCGGCGACACGCACGTCAGTGGCGGTGAGCGTGGTGGCGCCCTGGGCGAGGGCTGTCACCACGCCCTGGGAGGGGTGCACCGAGGCCACTGATGCGTTGGCTGTTGCCCACGCGTAGCTGGGGGAGGGCAGCTGCACCGCTGGAAGGATGGGGGAAGGAAGTTGGGATGGGGGTGACACGGGAGAGGGGGAAAAGAGGGTGATGAAGGGAAGGGGACGCGGCAGCAGAAAGAAACAGCATGATGAGGGGGAGAGGAGGGTGGACAGGGGAGGGAGCGGAGGGTGGGCAAAACGGGAGGGGTGGGAAGAGAAAGGGGGCAGGCGAGGGGCAAGGTGCAGGAGGGCGAGGGTGGGCACGTACGGGCGACCTACGGTGCAGAGCATTGTGGGTGAAGGTGAGGAGGCGGAAGGGCAGGCGGGCGCCAGGCAGCAGCAGCACGGGGGAGGGCGGCTGCAGGGAGAAGGCCTGCGCCACCGTCAGCGTTATGGCATCCGATGGCAGTGCTGCTGCACCCCCTGCTGCTGCTGCTCCTGCGGCGGTGACATCAGCGTCCATGAGCTGCACGGAGACCTTCTCCTGCCCCGGCGCCACACCCTCACCACATACACGTCTGACCGCTCCACCTGATTGGGTGATGGATACACAGACACATATGCGGGCACAGGATCAGAGGCGGGCGATATGAGGATGAGAGGCGCATGATGACCCACTGCACTGCTGACGCCTTGCTCCTGCTGCTACCTCCCGGCTGTATTCGGCCTTCTTTGACAACCGTCCCTCTCCATACTCTCCTGCCTTCGCTCCTCACACCGGCCCCACAGCACCCACCCTGACAAAACAATTCTCCCACTGCTCATCCCCCCGGCCCAGCACCCACACCACGCACCCCCAGGTCGTCCCTGGCGCGCGCCCCTCCTCTCCGCCTGCCAGCAGCAGCGCCGCTTCCTCCAGGGGCACGTGCTGCAGGCGGTGCTCCAATGCCTGGTCGCCACGTGGCGCAGAGGAGGCCGCAGGTTGGCGGTGGACGGGGAGGGGCGAGCCGAGGGGCGTGAGGGTCCAGCGGAAGGTGAGGCCCGCCACTGATGAGAACACGTCGCCTGGTGGGGGGCAACAGGTGAGCGCAGGGGTGAGGGGAAGCAGGGGTGGGGGGAAGCAGGGGAGAAGGGGGAAGCAGGGGTTGGGGAAAAGCAGGGATTGAGGGGAGGAAGTAACGGTTAAGGGTAAGCAAGAATTGAGGGTAAGCAAGAATTGAGGGGGAGCATGGCAAAGAAGGGGGGCCCAGGGCTGGCAAGAGGCGGTGGGAAAAAGCAGGGGTGACGAGCGGGGGACGGGAAAAGAGTTGAGTGAGAGAGAGGCAAGGAGGAGGAGATCGAGAGGGGGTTACAAAGGACGAAACGAGACACTCGCGTTGACATAAACGCACAGGCACACTTCACTCCCACCCGGCAAACAACCGCCTCCCTGTGACCCACGCACCACACATCCCCCGCACGCCATGCACCCTAGACCCAGCACCCCCCGCACCCCGATCCCTGCACACCCCCCCCCTCCCCCAGCGCGCTCACCGTGGTCGTTGAAAGCAAGCACCTCGAGATCCGCGAGCGAGGAGAGGCCCATCTTAAGGCTGCGGTGGAATATGGCCACACGCTGCACCACGTCCACTCGCACCTGTGGGGCACCAAAAAGAGGGGGGAGTTGTGGCGGCACTCGCCAGGGGATAAGGGGCCAAGGGCGAGGGGTGACAAGCCAGAGGTGACGGGGCGAGGGCCGCGGGGCACGGGGCGAAGGCAGGGGACGTGGGGAAGAGGGTAAGGAGAGGGGGAGACAGGAAGGGTGAGAGGGGGAGACAGGAGGGGGAGAGGGGGTGAGTGGGAGAAGTGGGTCGGTCAGGAGAGACAGCACACGCGCCCACGCGCCCAGCACACGCGCCCACGCGCCCAGCACACGCGCCCACGCGCACCTCGCAGCGCAGCACTTGGCCGGAGAGCAGGTCCGTGGCGATGACGGCCGTGGTGCGCGGCGCACCCGAGTATGGCGCCATGGACGAGATCAGCGCGCTCGTTGAACACCCCCCCCCGCGCGCCCCACTGCCGCTGCCACTGCTGCTGCTGCCATGGGACCCCCACGCTTGCCCTCCTGCCGCTCCTGCTGCTGCTACTGGCGTGGGCGAATGAACGTCATCGGAGGTGTTGAAGAGAGGCTGCACGTGCAGCAGGTCGTGATGGTCCCATGCCCTGCACGGCACCCACGCACGCGTTACCATAGGGGGAGAGAAGATCAGAAGAGCGGACAGCGGGGTTGACGGCGAACTACGCTCGTTTACAGCTCCCAGCGATCGCCATGGATTGACAACGCCAGCGAAACGGAAGCAAGGATCGTAAGAACGAATGGATCGAATTAAGCGATTAATATAGCGCGTTTCCTACCAACTGAAGCAGCCGTTGGATCCGAGAAGATGGAATCGAACGGGATTGCGCGCGCGGGGTGGTAGAAGTAGCAGCAGGCTGCTGATCTGCGGGCCCGCCTTGGGCGCCGCATGCGATGGCGACGCGATGCCGCGAGACGCGGAGAGAGGCGAGATGCTAGGGTTGGGGCCGATCGACGAACATGCCGGCACGAGCGCTGCTACAAGGCATGCAAAAACGAAAACCGAGCTCGTCCTTAAGCCTGCGAGACCACCCTTCATGAGATTCGTCGCCATGGGAGCCAATGCAGGCACCTTCAGGGGGTCACGATATACAGCAGCCAAGAATTAGGTTCAGTGAATCGCAGAATTCAGTGCTCACGGGTGCGACCGAGTCGCAAAAATGAGGCGGACTTTCCTTGAGCCCTAGACGCGGGCTGAACCTGACTCTCCTCTGAGATTGATGACCATTCTAAAGTCTCCAGGGCTAAGAAAAAAAAAGTTCATTGCCAAAACGCTTTTAATGGCGTTGTCGACCACCAGCCGTCTCCGATCTCATACGAAACATGATTACAACGGCGGCACTTAGGATGACGTTGACAGCGGAAAATCAACGCCTTCACCTCACAGTGAAGGAGGAAAGAGCACGCAACGGAAGCACAGGCACCGCATAAGGAGAGCCTGATCAGCCTCAGACTGGACTTGACCATCCGCCGTCATTCGGGGATTCCGAATTCACAGCCCAGCTGAATGGGCTTGCCGCCAGAAGCACTGCTGATTGGCAGTGGTACTAGTGTACACTGAGTTACCTCAAGAGGATATTTGTTCTGTAAGCTAGGACAAACCAGAATGCATATCACATTACAAACCAGATTCCCGGCAAGACAGACTATAACATAGACTTACAGCATCCTTGAAATCTATTTTCCGGAAATGAAATGGCATGACTTTAAGAGAAAGCTCATATGCTGTCTTAATGCAGCTCTCATGTCCGCATATGCCATCCGGGGGTGTTCGATGTGTAGATTCATGGGATTACTTATGGTATGTAATTCTGCATGATACACTTCATGATAAAATTTGTGAGTGTAATATATATCTACTTTAAATTACACATTTTAATGGCAGTAAATTAGTTCCGAGTTTTGGAAACAACTTTTAGAACTTCAGCGTATTTGTTATAGGAGGTTTTTGTCACCATGCCAGACCGATACCTTCCGCGATTGTTGGGGTTGTTTGTCTGCACGCTTGAGTCTTTGGCAGCTGGGGGAAACCGTAGCGCATCTGCGACTGAAGTCAATTCACGTGCCTCAAGCATTCTGGTTGCCTTCACGTGAAATATCATGAATGAAGCATTTCCTTCGTGCGGTGCCCTGAAAATGTCTAGAACGTATGATGCAAATTATTCAATTTCCTTCGTGTGCTGCTCTGTATTGATACATATAGAGCCTTGAAATTGGCTGGATAATGGAATTTGTAGCTTTCACCCCACTTATGTCGGTGATACCTACGTCACTCCGGGCATTCAGCAAGCGTGACGTCTAAGCCGGGATTCACTGATTTCTAGGAACCGCATCATGTCGCACGACTGTGTCGAAGTTGTTTGTGGCTCTAATTGCGTCTAATGTACACATCACGTGGCGTGGACGCCCACGCCTAGCAATCTGGCTCTCTGCTCTGCCGCAGAGCGGTTCACCTCACAGAGCACGAGTTTGTTTATATCGGTACGTTCGGGTGCATTTCGGGCAAATTCGGTAATTAAAGTGCGAAGCACCACTCACCAGTTTCCTCACTCCCCCCCCCAACTGCAGCTGTTCACTCGTCATTACTCACCAGCAAAACAACCCGCGCGTGAAACGGAAAGCAACGGGGATGAGAATCGGGCATAAACAATCCAGGGGAGTTACACCCACACGCCAGGGGGGCTAACGTAAACAGGTGTTCTTTGGCAACGCGCTTCAGTGTCTTCGGCTCAGGTGATTCGACGCTGCCCGTGCGACACGTGAGTCGAGTTGCGGCCCCGGCGGTTCCCCTGTGCGACTCAATTGAAGCAAACGCAGCTGTGCGTTGCGTGGTCGCCGCTTCATTCCGCCACCCCAATCTTCCCGTCGCTGCCTACCCCACCGCCTTTTTTAGCTCCCAAGTCTATTACGTGCCCCATTCTAATATACGTAGAAGCTAACTCTGCTTTCTTTCATAAGTCTGCTGCGACGCACAGAACACAGGCACAAGACTCACATTTCCTCGATAAGTTTCGCCCGTGAGGTCAGGCTCAATGGCGCAGTCAGGCTCGAGCGTCTCACCACTCCCGCAGCCGTCGACGGCAACATTAGAGCACAGGCGAACGCGCACTCTTGAGGCGCCCAAGAAACGCAAGGCGGACGCGGGAGACTCGCCGTCGGCCGACTCCCAGAGCGCGAAGCATCAACGGCGGTTAGAGCTCCAAAATGCAGCGGAATCGTCGTCGGATGCAACCGACGCCGGTTCTTGCCCGTCAGTATTCGGCGTGTCGACGGCGCGATTCGAGATTTACTTCGCCTCAGAGGCGCAATTGCTCGGGTCGGGTGAATTCGGCGTCGTGCGACAATGCACGGACCGTGCGACAGGCGAAACTTTCGCGGTGAAGACGATTCGCAAGGAACAGTTAGTGGACGAGCGCATGCGAGACGAGGTGCGGCGCGAGGTGGTGGCAATGCGGAGCGTGGCGGGGCATCCGGGCGTGGTGCAGCTTCGCGCGGTGTTCGAAGACGAGCGACAGGTACACCTCGTCATGTACCTGTGCGACGGTGGCGAACTCTTCGAAGAAGTCGTGCGACGCGGGCGGTTACCAGAAAAAGAAGCAGCCCTTTTATTCCGCCAAATCGCGAGCGCAGTTGCATTCTGCCACTCCAAAGGCGTCATGCATCGCGACCTCAAACCGGAGAACATTCTTTTGTCGAAACTGAACATTTCGGGTACAGACGTAACCTGCGCGAAACTCGCCGATTTCGGCCTCGCAATCGGACTCAAGCAGGGCGAGCGAGCGTACGGCGCAGCGGGGTCGCCATTCTACATGGCGCCGGAGGTATTGACAGGCGAGTACGGGTTGGAGGCGGACGTGTGGTCGCTGGGCGTGGTGCTGTACGTGCTGCTGAGCGGCAGCGCGCCGTTTTGGGGCGCGGACGACAACGGCGTGTTCCGCGCCGTGCTGGAGGCGCCGCTGGACCTGACGAGCGGCGCGTGGGCGGGGGTGTCGGCGGAGGCCAAGGGGCTGCTGCGCTGCATGCTGCACCGCGACCCGCGCCGACGCCCCTCCGCCGCCAAGCTGCTCTCCCACCCCTGGATCCTCGTCCACGCCTTCGGCGGCCGCGTCGTGCGCCGCGTCCTCGCCGCGCCCGCGCTGCACCGCCGCCGTATCGAGGGGGGCACTAGCGCGGCGGCGGCGTCAGGAGGAGATGTGGTGCCAACATCTGCATGAAACAGCAGCATCACTAAAACATCGCGTGACGAGCGAATGACGCGCAAATCCAGCATTTGCACACTTCACAAGGAATGGTTTAGTGTATATAAAGTTTTGTCTACAGCTTCAGCTAGGCATCTGCTGATGTATCCTAGGTGTTATGAGTTGTAAAAGAGAGTGCGCAGGTAAACGAATAACGAGACTGTGACTGAATGAATCTGAGAATACAATGAATGCGAGAACTAATGTAGGCTAGCCTAGCTAGGAGGAAACCTCGGACGAGCGAGGTTGGGTGCAGGTTTGGCGATGGAAATGCCGAAGGCGACGCGAGGAGCTTCGGCAGCGTGGAAATCGCCCGAACGTGCGAACTCCGAAAATCGGGTTGTACGCGCAGCAGTCAACCCCGATAAGGAATTCGAGAAAATTCCTTACACCACCCCCCCCCTTAGGGCGCGTGTCTTTTGGTTTTTACATGCAAATCTCGAATTTTTTGTTGAACTGTAGTCATATGAACCTAGCTCGAGCTAGGCTCGAGTTTTCACCAACTGCAAACCGAGCCGCGGTTCCACCCCTCCCGAAAATCACGCGACAAACAAAAGTTCAACTATCGAAGTTGAACTTTTGCAGCCCAGCCGAGCCGCGACCTACTGTTAAATTGTAATGTGTTATATGTTGGTAGGCTGTAGTGGGGTAGCCAATATGGGGTACAACCCCAACTAGGGTTTCCTATTTGTACCCTTGCTTCTTTCAATCCAACCATTCTTGCCTAGTTCTTCTAACATGGTATTCAGAGCAGGAGGTCCCTAGGACCTACCGATCGTTTTTTTTTAGGGCCCACCACCGCTCGCATGCGGTTACCACGCTACCCCGTGCCCTAGCCTCGTAGCGCCCTCGTGCGCCCTCGTTAGCGCCCTCGTGCGTCCTCGTTAGCGCCCTCGCGCGCCTCTCGTTAGCGCCCTCGCGCGCCCTCGCTAGCGCCCTCGCGCGCCCTTGTTAGCGCCCTCGTGCGCCTCTCGTTAGCGCCCTCGCGCGCCCCTCGCAGCGTCGCCCGCCCGCCGAGCCGCCCGCTCGCAGCGTCGCCCGCCTACCGCGCTGCCCGTTTCGCAGCCCGCCCGCCGCGCTGCCCGCTTGCAGCGTCGCCCGCCCGCCCGCTGCCCGCTTGCAGCGTCGCCCGCCCGCCCGCTGCCCGCTTCGCGGCCCGCCCGCCTCGCAGCCCGCTCGCAGCGTCGCCCGCCCGCCGCGCTGCCCGCTCGCAGCGTCGCCCGCCCGCCCGCTGCCCGCTTCGCAGCGTCGCCCGCCCGCCGCGCTGCCCGTGCGCAGCGTCGCCCGCCCGCTCGCTGCCCGCTCGCAGCGTCGCCCGCCCGCCTCGCTGCCCGCTTGCAGCGTCGCCCGCCCGCCCGCTGCCCGCTTCGCAGCGTCGCCCGCCCGCCGCGCTGCCCGCTCGCCGCGTCGCCCGCCCGCCCCGCTGCCCGCTTCGCAGCCCGCCCGCCGCACTTCCCGCCTGCAGCGCCGCCTGCCCACCGCGCTGCCCGCTTCGTAGCCCGACCCCTGCACTGCCCGCTCGCCGTGTCGCCCGCCCGCCGCGCTTCCCGCCGAGCTACCTACCTGCAGCGCTGTGGCAGCTTCCTTTGCTCTGTCGCTATGGCTTCCATCCGAGTGCTGTCGTTCGATGCTGAGGGCCGCCCTGTGAAGTTCGCCACTTGGCTGGATGACCTGCAGCTGTTCCTTCTGAGCGATAGCAAGGAGCATGTGTCGCTCTATGATTACGCGTCTGGTGCTGCACCTGCCCCTCCTGCCACAGCTGAGCTTAGTGTTCGTTCCCACTGGCAGACTCGTGACGCAGCTGCTCGCCTAGCCATTCGCAGTCACCTGCCGTTAGCTGAGCTCGAGCATTTTGGCGACTGCAAATCCGCTAAGGCCCTGTACGATGCTGTCGTTGCTCGCTACTCCTCGCCTGCCACAGCCGAGCTTAGCCGCCTCATGCTGCCGTACCTGTTCCCCGATCTGTCCACCTTTGCTACAGTCGCCGATCTTATCACCCACCTTCGCACTAGTGATGCCCGCCTTCGTGCCGCCCTTCCCACCGAGTTCTGCGCTAAGAACCCCCCTCCCCTGTACTGGACACTCCACTTCATAGTCACCCGTCTCCCTGACACCCTCAGCTCAGTTCGAGACCACTTCCTTGCTCGCTGTCCCACTGAGCTCACAGTCGCCCTCCTAGAGGAGCAGCTGCTAGCGGCCGAAAAGAGCATAGTAGCTGTCGGTGCTGCTCGTGGCGCTCCTCGCACCCCCATCTTTGAGGGGTGTTCTCCCTCTCCCCTCGCTCCCTCCTACGCTACTGCTGCTGCTGTTGACTTCCTTGGTGCTGAGTCTGCTGGCGCTGCTTCTGCTCCTAGTGGGAGGCGCCGCACCGGCAAGGGCAAGGGGGGCAAGGGTGGCGGGGGTGGCGCTGGTGGGGGAGGAGGTGGGGGAGGTGGGGGGGGAGGCGGTGCTGGAGGGAGCGGTGGCGGGAGTGCTGGTGGGAGTGGGGTCGGCAGCGGAGGCGGGGGCGGCGGAGGGAGCGGTGGCGGTGGTGGCGGCGGCGGCGGTGGCGGCGGCGGCGGCGGTGGCGGCGGCGGCGGTGGCGGTCGGAGCGGAGGTAGTGGTGGTGGCGGAGGTCGGAGTGGAGGCACCGGCTCGGGCCAGAGCTCCCAGCAGCAGCAGCGTCCCCAGACGACCCAGCAGCTTCGTGAGTGGCTTGCTCAGCGTGGGACGTCGGGGGGCAGTGGCCGCTGTTCCTATGTCATTCGCACAGGTGACCGCAAGGGACAGACGTGTGGGAGGTTCCACACCCCGTACCGCTGCTTCTCCCGCCTTGACGACGCTTGGCGTGAGGAGATGGGCGAGGATGTTGAGCGCCCCCGCTGGGCTGAGCTCATGAGGGCTGGTGTTGATATCTTTGCTCTTGACTATGATGCTATTATTGCTGCCATGTATGCATTGACTGTTAGTGCCGAGGGAGACTGTTACTTGTGTGTGCCGCCTGACCCAGGTATAGAGCCCGCTGCCCTGGGTACTAGTGAGTCTGCTCTCTCTGGTATGGTGCCCCCGGTACTTGCTCCCTCCAGTGCTGTCCCGGCTGTTTGCGAGTCTGCTCTCTCAGGTACAGCACCCACAGAGACTGCTCTCTCAGGTACCGCACCGGCTGAGGCCTGTCACACCTTCACCCTTGACTCAGGTGCTTCCCGCTGTTTCTTTCGTGACAGTACTGAGCTCACACCGCTTCCTGCACCGGTCCCAGTCTCCTTGGCTGACCCCTCTGGGGGCCCAGTCCTTGCCCAGTCCACCACTGTGCTCCCTTGTCCGGCGGTTCCGTCTGGCTCGTTGTCGGGTTTCCACCTCCCCTCGTTCTCGACGAACCTGGTGAGCAACGCTGTCCTCCAGGATCAGTGGGTTGACACCTTCACCCCAGGAGGACAGCGTGTGGCGATCTGCACGTGCTCCAGGACCGGCCGTCACCTGGCTACGTTTACCCGTCGGCCGGGGTCGAGTCTCTACACACTGACCACTGCGTCTCCTCAGGTCGCTGCTGTCGGTCAGGTGTCCGCGTCAGGTCTAGTGGCCCACGCCTGTGAGTGTCGTTCCCTGTCGCACCAGACTCTTCTCTGGCACCACCGCCTGGGTCACCCCTCCCTACCACGCCTCCGTGGCATGCACCGTCGCCGCCTTGTGTCTGGTCTTCCCAGGTCCCTCCCTCCCCTCCCTGCCTCGCCTGCGCCGCCTTGCCTTCCTTGCGTCGAGGGGCGGCAGCGCGCCGCTCCTCACTCCTCCTCGTTCCCCCCGACAGAGGCTCCTCTGCAGACCCTCCACCTGGACGTGTGGGGCCCAGCCCGCGTTCGTGGCCAGGGCGGTGAGCGGTACTTTTTGCTGGTTGTCGACGACTACTCGCGTTACACCACGGTCTTCCCCTTGCGCACCAAGGGTGAGGTCCCTGCTGTTCTGATCCCTTGGATCCGCGCAGTTCGTCTCCAGCTCCGCCGCCATTTCCGGACGGATCTTCCTGTCCTGCGTCTGCACTCTGACAGAGGTGGTGAGTTTTCCTCCGATCTCTTGAGGACCTTCTGTCAGGCGGAGGGCATCGAGCAGACCTTCACGCTTCCGGACTCCCCACAGCAGAATGGGGTTGCTGAGCGCCGCATTGGCCTGGTCATGGAGGTCGCTCGTACCTCCTTGGTCCACGCGGCGGCTCCCCATTTTCTGTGGCCGTTTGCTGTCCGGTACGCCGCGCATCAGCTCAACCTCTGGCCCCGTGTCTCCTTGCCGGAGACCTCGCCCACACTGCGTTGGACGGGGGAGGTTGGCGATGCGTCGCGCTTCCGGGTGTGGGGTGCTCGTGCCCTTGTCCGCGATACGTCCGCGGACAAGCTCTCCTCCCGCACACTTCCCTGTGTCTTCCTTGGCTTTGTCCCTGACGCGCCGGGCTGGCAGTTTTACCACCCCACCTCGCGCCGGGTCTTCGCCTCTCAGGACGTCACCTTTGACGAGTCGGTCCCTTTTTACCGTCTCTTCCCCTACCGCACTGCCCCCCTCCCTCCCCCGCCGCTTTTCCTTGCTCCTGGTCCCCCTCCGGTAGACCCCCTTCCCCCTCAGGGTCCTGCTCCTTCAGGTGTCTCTCAGGTAGACCCTCCTCCCGTCACTGAGCCTGTCGAGGTCACAGGTGACTCAGGTGCTGCTGCAGGTGGTGCTGCTGGGAGTGCTGAGCCTGGGGGTGCTGAGCCTGCGGGTGCTGGGCCTGGGAGTGCTGGGGCTGCGGGTGCTGGAGCTGAGGGTACTGTGCCTGGGAGTTCGGCGCCTGGGGGTGCTGAGCCTGGGGGTGCTACGACTGGGGGTGCTGAGCCTGCGTGTACGGAGTCTGGGGGTGCCGAGCCTGGGGGTACTGCGCCTGAGGGTACTGAGCCTGGGGGTGCTGCTGCTGAGCCTACGGAGCCTGGGGTTGCTGCGTCTGGGGGTGCTGCGCCTGCGGGTACTGAGCCTGGGAA